ATTTTGCCTCTCCCACCTCTAAACCCAACCAATCACATACTTCACCATGTGACCTCTTAGTGTAGCCTAAGTCATGTCACATGTTTTCCCCCATTTAACGTTGCAATTTCTGCCATCTCTGTTGTCCTCCTTCAAGATTACATACTACATGGGTCAATCTCACAAAAAAACATGTCCAGGTCACATTTCACCCCCAAATCATGTAAATAAATATTAATTAAAAAAATCTATCTATCTATCTATCTATCTATCTATCTATCTATCAATCAATCATAATAATACTTGTTTTATTATTAATAATAGTAATAATAAAGCCTGCTTTAAGAACCATTAAGATTTTTTTTTTGCATTGTATTATTAATATCAATCAAGTACATTATTCTTATACTATTCAATTTTCACTACTGTAATTCATTCTTTTGAGTCTGGAGTAAAATATGACCTGGACATGTTCTTGACAATTTTCGTGAGATTCACCCATATGATATTGTTGATTTTGTAAAGTAACATCTGATATGAGTCTTTTAGTTGTCCGAGATCTCCTTGAGGTTATATACACATCAAGGAGGTCTCTGTCATTGTTTCAGTCCAGCAGAAAAACAAACCCTTGATACATTTCATTTAGATGCAAAGCCTGATTTTTGACGAGGTTTATAATTGAACTATAAACTACTATATTTGTAGTAAATGTTAATATTCTGACCTGTTGTGGTCAGGCCCCGTCTCTGTCATTGTTTCAGTCCAGCAGAAAAACAAACCCTTGATACATTTGGTTCTTCTCCTTCTGAAAGAACTGGTTCAGACGAGCTTTTGCATTGTCCAGAGTCCAGTTCCCATGCAGGCCAGCATTTAGATCAACTTCCTCAGATTCTAAGGTCTTGGGAATGAGAAAAAAATACCTTCAATTCTCAGAAACTTTCTATAATGGTGGTCAAAAAACGGGCAAAAAAAAAAAAACTACCACTTCTGCATCCTGTTCATCTCTCTTGGAATAATAGTCCTGGATGTTGGCTCCTCGCTCCCATTGGGTGTTACCAAAACCAGAATAGCCCAAACCTGTGACTCCAGGGACAGGTGCAGAACCCTCAGAAGGTTCTGAGACACAGGAAGAATACAGCATTAAAAATTGTCGTTTTAGTCAATGGTATAAATGGTTTAAATAAAACCAAAGTGTCAATAAAAGTGGTTGGTTAGATAACCAGACCCTGCTGGTAGATGCCATTAACTACACCAATCTGCGGCCAAAGGGGATCTTTCTCCACTGATATCTAAACAACATCTAAAACACTGATATTGCATTATAGCAGATGTTTTGTTAGCAACTAAATACTGGATGAATCTAGGTATAATATAAGATACCTCCATCTGATTCCTTCTTCACAGCCAGATGTGGAGGTAGTGGACAGTTGGATGGGAGATTTCCAAACCCACCACTTCCTTCATTCCCTCCATCAGGTATGCTGACCTGAAAACGATAAATGTAACCTCAGACCCTCCTCATAACACAGATGAGCAGTCGGAGAACTGGTAAACATAGATGTGATACTGACCCCTAGAGCAGGAACTTCGCCAGGACTAACTTCTTTCATCCGAACAAGATAATTCACAAAATCTCGGGCTGCATTGGACTGAGCATCCTTCTTGTTGTTAGAATTACCCATGCCAATGTAACTGTAACCTTCAATACGTACCTTAAAGAAACATGGTTCAAAACACTTTTCCAATTACACCAATAAAACGCCGTATGTGTGTGTATATATATATATATATTTAATTATTTTAAGTATTTTATATACAATTTGCAAATGACTTTGAGAGGCCTCAGGCTTATTCTTACCTCACACAAGAATTTTTGTCTGTTTTTATTTCCAGCTGCTCGGATGTCATAGTTCGGCGTTAGCTTCTTTTTTCCACACCAATCATACAGGAAGTCTTTAATGTCCGCCATTGTTGACGGCCTGCATGTGAACAAGTGCATTACATTTATAAAACGATTAAAAATAAAAGAAGATTATTAATCGCCCATAGGAAAAGAATATGGTGAAATCTGCAATCTTCCCATTTCTCAGAGATAAACGTAACCATGCACTGACTGCAAAACTACGGAGAGAAAAAAAAAATGAAACTACTGCAAGAATAACGGTATCCAACTCGATAATGTGGTAGTTAGCATTTTAAACTGTCAGCACAAGAAAAATCATACATTTAAAACACACAAATGTACATCTACATAGGTTTCTTGTCTATATATTTGCAGGTAACGTTAGTCTGCTGCAATGAATGGGCTAACATTAGCTAGCCGGTTCCTGCAGCCATATCCAGGCCATATGATAACATTACTGTTAAACAAAACGATTAAATAAAAATTAAGATGATCCACTCTACGTTTGTATCATACCCGACAAAGGCCCTTTCGCACAAATCCAAACAAGACGCTGACGATGTTCAGAAAAGCCGTATGTTACAAGACAGCTTGCAGAGCGGTAAACAACACAGGCGGATCAGAACAGGAAGTGACGCAACCGTGAAAGCGTATCTTAAAATCCAGTGCAAAATCGATCCTTGCAACGCAGATTCATTGAAGTATAAATATTATTGATAACATATATAGATTTTGGGGTCAAAATTAGGAAAACGTAATTTATTTGATTGAATGTTAGTTCCTATTTATTTGGCCCAAGGTTAATTTGAGGTTATCACCATGGATATCTATACATTATCCTTTGGTGTAACGTTATCGGTGATATGACATCCGGAGTCCGGACAGTGGCAATGACAAACTTTAATAATAATTTAATTAATACACAGTTTAAAGTAAAATATTAAAATATATAACATTAAAATATTATTTTGTAGGCCTGTTGGAGGCCATGCCCTTGAGTTCTGTTCATTTTAATGTTAAATGACATTCTACCCACTTTGGGGTACAATTATGAAAACGATCGTTTCAAAAACTAATTTTTATATATACACAGTTTAAAGTAAAATATTAAAATATATAACATTAAAATATTATTTTGTAGGCCTGTTGGAGGCCATGCCCTTGAGTTCTGTTCATTTTAATGTTAAATGACATTCTACCCACTTTGGGGTACAATTATGAAAACGATCGTTTCAAAAACAAATTTTTATATATACACTAGAGCCCTGCAGGGGCCTCAAATATAGGCCCTAGCCCGGCCCTCGCCTACTACTGTTTCAGCTATTAAAATAGTTCAGTTTTGTATGTAGGGCCTAATGTCAAAGTGATTATATTTCGTTTCGTTTTTTTATTAAGTTAATTTAGAAAAACGTTTGGAGCATTTTTTTGTTCGTTAAACGTAAGTTTTTGGTTTTTTTTAAGTAACGACCAAGCGGCCAGCGGCAGACAGTGAGTTGATCTTAGCCTATGTTTGATCAATTTAGCCTTCTCAAATCATCACGACTTGCCTAAAATAATATATAGATATAAAACAGTTCAGGCATATTACAGTGTTAGTTTAAATGTTTAACCTATATAAATGTTTTAGCAAATGGCTGCAATATAACAAAGAGTGAAAAATTTAAGGGGGTCTGAATACTTTCCGTACCCACTGTATATGCTAATGCGTGTGTATGTGCGTTGCGTATTGCGTAGGCGATGTATAATATTTATAATATAATCAATATAACAATATTTCATACAGTAGCCTATGTGTGCTCTGCGCATATATGGCACAATAAAAGGAGAGAAGCTAAATGAGCCCGAGTCTGACCCGAGCCCGATCTATAAAAAAAAAAAATGTCCCGAGCCTGGCCCGAATGGAATCAGCGTGTCGGGACCCGACGGGCTTGCGGACCTCTAATATACACTACAGTTCAAAAGGTTTCAGTTCAGTTTGGGGTCAGTAAGATTGCTTTTTGCGAGAAGTCTCTTATGCTCACCAAGGCTACATTTATTTGATAAATTCAGTAAAACAGTAATATTGTGAAACATGATTTCAGTTTAAAATATTTATATTTTAATGCATTTTAAAATTTTATTTATTCCGGAGATCGCAAAACTACGTTTTAAGCAGCCATTACTCCAATCTTCATAGTCACATCACGCATCAGAAATCAACACATTCTGTTATTGATTTGGTGCCTAAAAACCATTTCTTATTTTCAGTGTTGAAACAGTTGCTTAATATTTCTGTGGATCGTGATACATTTTTGTTCAGGATTCTTTTATGAACAGAAAATGTATTTGTAATAAATATTTTGAACCATTATAAATGTCTTTACTGTCACTTCTGACCAACAATGCATCTTTTTTGCGGTTTAAAACTATTAAAATAATGTAATATAAAACAATACAATAGTGAATACAATATAATCTTTAATGGGAATGACTCTTCTTTTGGTAATGTGCAATAACGGCAAAATGAATGGAAGCAGAAATTATAAATCAGTTTCAGGTCACACACAGACAACAGGATCAATGAGGCCACAATCCAACTTTATTCAATGCTCAGCTTTCAACTTTGAGACTGACCATCAAATATATCGCTACGAGAACAGCAAACATTGAGTAGTTCTGTGCCACAAAAGGTTAAAGGCATTGATGCTCATGGACAGAGTGAGAACAAAGTGGAAAAACAATGACTTTCAATAAAAGCAGCTGACAAACAAGAACAGGATCAGAAAGAGGGCAGTGAGGCTGTCTAGAACAAGAGGGCAGTGAGACTGTAGATCGGCCGTTTCACAGCACTCTGGTCAGATACATAAAACAGATATAGGGCCAAAAAAAAAAAAAAAAAGTGAAGTTAGGTTAGGTTGAGTGGCAGTAAAATATCCTACATATCTGGCAAAATAAAAATTCAGTTCAAATAATTAAGTTTGTTAATTCAGTTCAATATTTTAATTCATTAAACCCACTGCTTGAGTCATATTTTTAGTAACATTAATGAACACACATTTTAATTTATTGAATATCATGCTCTAGATTTGTTGCAATTGAACTGTGGCTGGCTTAACTGTGTCCTTTTAGTCACCTAAAATCAGTCATAACCTTCAGTGATGGAGAGCTTGGTGGGGTTGGTGGGCGACAGGCCGTTGCGGAGGTTGTGCATGCTGTATCGCTCTTTCACCTGAGTGAGGGCACTCATCAGCCGAGAGTTAGCTGCATCTAGGGAGCTGATCCTCTTCTCCTGCAAGAGAGAGAAAGAAGCACATTAAAATCAAATTTAAGATATCTTAATTTTGAACAAATTAAAGGATACATATATACATATAATATTACTGCTCTTGGCGATTTAGCAGCAGAAACACAGATCATATATATATATATATGTGTGTGTGTGTATTACATTATATTTGTGTGTGTGTGTATATATACACAAATATCATATAATAAAAATGATATTTTATGTGTAATCCAGGCAAGTGAACAATCACATGTGCTACAAGAATCTGTCTTCAAAAGCATACACAAGCAAAAGAGCAAGTTTGTAAGGACAGGACAACCTAAAAAAATAGGACAACTCAAATCCTGTATAAGCAACAGATGCAGACAAAAACCGCATAAGTAAAAGATAGACCATCATTATACTATTAAGTAATTATCTGCAGAGGGCAGTAGCAATTTGTGAAGTGCACACACACCGACTACAGTGCTGGGAGTGTGGCAGCATGGGCAATCAAGAAGTGACTAGGCAAAAATAAGGAGGGAAAATAAAACAAACTGCAGCCAAAGCTAGAGCTCACAGATACCAGGTACTAAATCTGCTACGAGAGATCCCTATTAACACACATTCCTCAATAGCATCACACTAAACATCAGGAAGATGCTCGGACAGCTTTGAAATGTGGGTAAAGCATGAGCGTTCAACAACCCAGAGGAGAATTTTGAAAGTGAAATGACAAACCAGGCTACGACTGAAAAGTTTAAGTATGCAAACATATTTAAGTATCTGGTTTAAAGTTAAAGTGTGCAATTTCTACACCACTAATGGTGTCATGAAGAGTTTCATTCTGCCTGAAGTACTTTTCAGTTCCTGATTAGGAATTAAACGTAATATATATTAAAGGGTTAGTTCACCCAAAAATGAAAATTAGCCCACAGATTACTCACTCTCAAGTCATCCTAGGTGTATATGACTGTCTTCTTTCAGATGAATCCAGTCGGAGTTATATTAAAAATTGTCTTTGATCTTTCAAGCTGTTTAATGGCACTCAGCGGGTGTTGCATGCATCACGCATGCGCAACGCCGACCTCCATACGTCATCCGCCCGGAGCTGATTCCGTGTACAACTGTTGGCGCAAGCTAGATTAAAGTGATTATTACATTTTGAAGATATTTTTCTTACAAAAACGCATCGATTCGCTACAGGAGGCCTTTGTTCACCCCCCGGCGGCGTGTGAGACACTGTTTTTTTATGGATGGGCGCTTTTTATTTCACTTCTTTTGGACTGATGCATGCAACACCCGCTGAGTGCCATTAAACAGCTTGAAAGATCAAAGACAATTTTTAATATAACTCTGACTGGATTCGTCTGAAAGAAGAAAGTCATATACACCTAGGATGACTTGAGGGTGAGTAATTTGTGGGCTAATTTTCATTTTTGGGTGAACTAACCCTTTAAAACATTATTGATTAAAGGAAAGTCTACCAAAAATGAAAATTCTGTCATAATTTACTCACCCTCATGTCGTTTCAAAATTGTGAGTTTCTTATTCAGTGGAATGTAAAAAAAGGTATTTTGAAGAATGCTGGTAACCACACAGGACAAAAACAATGGAAGTCAATGGGAATCGAAACATTCGGTTAACAACATTCTTCAAAATATCTTCTTTTGTTTTACTCAGAAAAAAGAAATGCATGGAACAACATGAGAGTGAATAAATGATGACAGTTTTCATTTTTGGGTGGACAGTCCATTTAAATATCTAATAATTAATTAAAGGTGCAGTAGGAGATCTCGGAAAATGCTAACTTTAGCCTGATAGCACTGAAAGCGAACGTC